CAACTGAATAATTTGTTTTTTAATCATTGACCATTTTAATTTTGGGTATATTTCAAGGCACGGTTGAAAATAAAATTTGACAATTTATTTATTATAAATTTTACCAAAATGAGACTTGAACTTAATTTGTTTGTTGTTAAGAACTTGCGTAGTTGACTTAAAACTTACAAAGAGATTTAGTCACTATAAATTTTTTTAGTGGAACGGTTTTATATGTACACTCTGTACCATCGTTCATTTGAATTACATTATCTTAAACCTCGAATCACTCAAGTCACGACACTTAAGGGTATATTATACTAAACATGCTCAAAAGTTTTGAAGTCTACCAGTCAACAGTTGAGCTAGATTTTGAGTTAGAAATCAAAACTAGCCAAAGTCCACGGATTGCCTCTTAGGCTCTTTTAGACAATGGGTTTTGACTGACTTCGGGTGATTGTCCAATTCTTCCCAGATCCCACTTGCTCTAGCAGGGTTCAATTAAAGTACTGGAGTGCTTTTGATTATTACGTCCGTCCATCCCCCGAGTCACATTCGTAGTGCCAAGATCGGCTATCTACTAGCACCAAACAAGCGTTTTTAAAATAAAAATATACAAGAACACGAGATTTTTCGATCGAAGTCTTGGAGGATCAGTGACTACTACTAACACCTGGCCCCCCATCGTGCAATTCACTAGCACAGCCTCAAACTCAAGACAAAAATTCAGATTATAGAAAGAATTCTCAGAGAAACTAAAACCGAACTATCTCTCTTAAATGCACAAAGCTATTAGCCTCTCGTCAAAACAGAAGGTTACCTTTCATCAATACACAAGGAGGCATTCTCACTTACACCGGGCCTCGTTTCCTTCCCTTTTGGGCTTAAGTGACAAGCAACACAATCCTTGCAATCCCTTGAGTCACATTGAATCATTGAAACCTAAGTATGAGAGTGCTTTTGGCAGTTAAGTTCAACTCCCCAGTCACGTTGAATCATTGAAAGAGATATTTACACTGACTTAGTAGCTTAATTATAATCCTGCTTTGTTACTCTCATAGGGTGACAAATTCCATCCCACAGTAAAACAGTTGCACAATATATAATAATATCTTCTTGTTATATATAAAGTAGAATAGAAACCATAAGTTTTATGATTAATATACCATCGAAGTAAGCTTAGAGAGTATAATATATGAGTATAAAAGTAATGGTTATATTATTAATATTTGAATCATTTAAATCTAATGATGACAGCAAAAAGAAGAATGGATAATTCTGGATTATGTTTTATACAATAATTAACAATTTTACTTTTTAAGTTTTGGTAATGATTAATAATATTAAGGGGAAATTTGGCCCACTACCCTTAAAACATATTAGAATTTCAAATTTTCTTATTAATTACGAATAAATTAATTTTGTCACTTTTTAGAAGTTTTGACACTTTTTTAGCTTCTTAAAAAAGTGATAAGATATTTACATTTTAACAAATGTTGTTGTTCATGCGTTCTATTGGAACAAGAATTTCAATCATTTTGTCACTTTTATATTCGTTATCTTTTTTCCATTTGTCTTCATAACAAATGATGACGTTAATTTTATCCATATCCGCAAAAAAATACAAATAAAATAATGCTATTTTATATATTAACTCAATTCATTTTCTCTCAAGATCAATAATGCTATTTTTCAACTATTTTTTTTTCCAATCACAGTATCTAAATCATAAAAAAAATAAAAAATAAAAAATTCATAAATGCCAATTATTTACATTATAAGATTCAAAACTAAATTTAATCTCGAGATTGACTAGAAAGTAATAGGGACGATGCACCAAGATGATTAGGATTTTCATGTTGAAGTTTATTCAACTAGAAATTGATTGTTGTGACTGTTGCTTTCACAATCTATGCAAAATAGAATTAAATGATCTTAAAATAACAGATTTGGTGAACTAATTAAACAAAAAATCAGAAATATAAAACTTGTAATTTTTGGTTGTTTATGTGCAGATTTGGGAAAGAAAACATTG